TCTCCAGTATCTGTTCTCGTGTCTCTCCTTGTGTCTCCCCAGTCTGTCGTCTTATTCATGTCTACATGTTCCATGTTGTCAAGCTTGTGTTGTCTCGTCAAAGTCCCATTATGTTCCTGTTTTATTTTGAAGAGTCTAGTGTTTCTATGTTCAGTGTGTTTAGTTTTACTTCCCTGTGGCGTCAGGTTCATTTGTATCAGCGGCGTTTCTCCAGGTGTTTCCACTTCCCTCATTACCCTCCTGTGTATGTAAGTCCTCTGTCTCCTTCTGTTCCGTGTTGCTTCATCTGTCCAACTCGCTTCATGTAACATCAGGTCTCAGGATTTTCTTAGCTGCTGTTCAGGTTCATGTTTAGATTCCTTCACGCTAAAGTTTTACATGTACCTGTTCAGTTTCATGTTCTCGTTTTTATGTTTAGTTTAGCTGTCCCCAGTTTAGTTTAGCTTTGGTTATGCCCCTATTCGCCTTGTCTTGTTTTCTTTTCTTGTATTCAGCCTAATAAACGGCTCGCTTTGTGTTAAACTTAGTTTTTCTTTCTTCCGTGTCCACTTTGCAAACACACCGGCCGCCCGGACGTAACAGGTAGGTTAAAAATTGGTCTTTTAAACCTACTAAGTACTGAAACTGCAGGGGGGTTTGCTTTGTTTTTTGTTTTTATTTGAACTATTTGACCATCAAATTGTCACTACTTATTAATCAAGATCACTTTTATCACTGTGACTTACACTGAGCTGAGAAATTTCTGAACGAAGGCACTCCCGATGGAATCCAGTGTTAGTTCGTAACAGATCTGAGTTATTGCTGTTATTGAAGACCAAACTCTCACTTCAGGCGTACAGGGACCAAAAAACCTATAATGTGCCCTATGCCTCCTACTCTTGAATCATCCTCACAAAGGTGACTTCTTGAAGTCTATACGTCATATGGTTGAGCTAATTCTCACCTACCCCACAGCATCCTTGAGAGGGTAAAGAGCTTTTCCAGTTTAACACAATCATGATGAAAGTAACACTTTCATTCCTGAATCACAGTTTTGACAAACAGGCAGGCTAAACTCCAAAAATTATGATCTCCCTAAGGTTGGAACACACTGTATGCTCCTTATTGTTAAATATATAAATAGACATACACTCATCAGCCACTTTGTTAGGTACACCTGTTCAGCTGCTTTAGATGGCCTGCTGTGGTTCAAACTGAGCACCAAAGGGGGAAAGAAATGTCTTCATGGCATGGTTGTTGGGTTTCAGCGCTTTGATTCAAGATGCTTTCAAGCTGATATAAAGTAACTCAAATAACTACTTTTTATAGCGAAGGTATGTAGAAGAGCATTTCTGAACACCAAAAATGTAGAACCTTGAAGCATATGCACTACACTTCATATGCGCTCACCAAAACTGGACAATAGAAGAACGGAAAAATGTTGTCGGGTCTGATGAGTCCTGATTTCTGCTGTGGCATTCTGATAGTAGGGTTAACATGAAAGCCTGGATCCCTTGTACCAGTGGTTCAGGCTGTTGGCTATTGTTTAAACACCACACGCAAGTCAAGTCATTGTTGCTAACGTGTTCATCCCTATATGAGCACAATGCAACAATCTTCTGATGGCTGCGTCCCCCAGGAGAACGCACCATGCTACAAAGGTTAAATCATCTTAAATGAATCTCTTGAACATTACAGTACCTTCACTTTATCCAAATGGCCTACACAGTTTCAATTCAATAGCACTACTTTTATGAACAAGAGATTCACATGAATGTACAGCTGATTAATCTGCAGTAACTGCATGATACCTTGAAAGCACAAAGAATTCAGGCAGTCCTGAAGACAAAAAGAATAGACAGATGAATTCAAAACTAGCAAAGCGTAAATAATGAAATGGACAGTGAGCGCAACGCAGATCTGTTGGTCCACACTGGTCAGATAAGGTGTTAGTAACGTCATTGTCTCAGAGGATTAAATTAAAGGTTAAATCACATGTCGTTGTGACTTAATTACACAAATTGATCTTTAAAGTAATTTGTAACTGTAAGCAATATGAAACCTAAATTGAAAAAATATTTAATCTGTTAGCTGCATAAACTAAAGGCTTTGCAGGTGGGGGATCTATTTTCTTTTTTTCTCAACTTTTTGTCTATGTTTTCTTCCCCTGTGCTGTTACAGTTAGGTTTATAACAGATGAAAAACAAAATTAAGGCAACAGGGAGTACTTTGTTGGTTGCTAATGGTTTCAGAAAACATTATGCAAGATTTTATAATGTGCTTCATTACACACAAAAACTTGTAAACATGACAAAATGCAGGCATTCACCACACAGCGTCAATTATGCCTTAGGGGGCAATATTCTTGGGCATGTAGTGTTTGGTAGACACAAAGAGGAGCGAAAGCAGCGGCACTGAGCTGCAATGGTGAATGTGAAAACTCTGACTTCTTAGAGCTTCTGAAACTTACTTTCTTCAAAGTCCTTGGTTGAAAAGGAAAAGCATGGCATCTATGTTAGTTTTAAAAGAGGAGATATAGAAGAAAGGCTGGTTCAGGACAGAAAATCTTATTAAGCATAAACTGTTAAGAGTATTCACTATCATATCTATATATCATAATTTTTGTTGACCAGTTAATGACTCTATTGCCTTTTTTTGCTGCAAAAAATAAAATAAAAACAGTTGATAGTTTTGTATATCACTTAAATGTATTGGCCTACACATTAGCGGATAATTTAAAAGGAATGCAGTACATTATGTAGCGTAATGTATATTAAAGGCTAAAATTATGATAATGATGACTTAGTCATAGGAGTAGTTGTAAAAGATCTTTGCACATTAATGCAGCAATAAATATTTTGGTATATATAAAATTACAGGCACACTTACCAAATAGGTACTTTTACACATACACATTATTTTGTCTGGTCAATCCTATATGTTTATATGTTTTATATATAAAATCAGGATAGCTAGGGTAAGCTCTTTGACTTTTTTCAAAAAGAAGAAGATAATTTCTGCTATATCTCCATTTATGGAAGGTTTGCCACCCTGCCAAAAGTAAACATAATTTTTATTCTTTACACAGACATTTCCTTTTTTATTGCTTATTTGAAAAGTAAAAAAAGAAAAACTGATCAAATCTTCAGATTTATATATATATATATATTATTTATTAAATGTTGCTACAATCAGTTTCTAACCATGATACCTTTGAAAGCTAATAAGCAATTATGTAACAGTATCCACAATTATTACACCACACAATCACATCTACAGTATATAATCCTATTGATTGACAAATGAAAATAAAGATAAGCTAACTAGGTATTAGGCTACATTTCTCATAGCACAGAAATAATACAATATAGCTAATTTCTAGGAAGATTATTGAGCTCTATGCATTATCCCCCTCCTGAAGTGAAGGAACCTGAACACTTTCGGCCTCTGAATGGACTGCCAGGACTTCTGCATCACCAATCCGCTCTGCAAAGAACACTCCAGTCAGATTCATGCTAAGAGAGTAATTTTCCACATACTCCAGATCCACATATCGAAATAGCAGATTTTAAATTTGCTCTTATTTGAGCTGCTCAACATTAATATGAATAATTGGATCCCTTCTAAAATGCATTACTTATTTCCGCAAATCCCTTTCCCTTATAACATTTTATAAGAAGTATCTGCTTTAAATAGGGCATTATGTTTTAACTTTCACAAAAAGGAATCATTTAAAGAAGCCTAAGTCAAGTCAATCAAGACAAAATCACTGGAGGAAAAGGAGCATTTATAAGAAAAGGCTGGCTGAGGATGTCAGTCCAAAAAACTCATGCCAGCAAAAGAAGCTCAGAGAAGAGCTGCCATTCAAGCCAAGGACAGACATAAACAGTGTGGCTTAGGGTGGCTTTGTAAAATGTAAAGGCCAAACTGTATATTAAATATACTCCAAAAGACAGGAAAAACTAAACTGCGCAAAACTTTACACGTTAAAATAATTTTAAAAAATACATACGTAACAGAGAAAGTCAAGCATAATCAAATTACCTGGTTTTTCATCAATGGCAGTTTGATTGACTTGGTGTGAACTGTGGAAGTGAATAAACAAGATTAAAACACATTTAGCTTGAAACATTTCTGCACCAAAAAAGAGAAAAATCTGACACTTCACTCTAACCTCCTCCTGTGTGTTTTTCCCCATGGCTGCTCAAATGATGCCGCATACACAGACGGAGACGCTCCTGGATAAAACGCCTGCAGCTGCTGGAAGTTCCGCTGGTTACGGACAGAGAGGTCGACACCGTCCAGAGCTTGTCTGATCATCCCCATCACCAGATCTTTTTCTGCAGTTGAGCAACAGTACAACAAGAGTAAAAGCAAAATTTAAATATTTACCGTAAAAGTGAATTAAGGTAATTCTATAACCATTATTTTTGTGCTGTCTCCTGCCCCACCCTGAGCCTGCTTCTGTCTGAGGTTTCTTCCTGTTTAAAGGGAGTTTTCTCCTTCCCATTGTGGCCAAGTGCTTACTCACAGGAGGTCGTCTAATTGTTAGGGTTTTCTCTTTATTATTGTATGGTCCTTACCATATAATATAAAATTCCTTGGGGCAATTATTGTTGTGATGTAACACTATATCAAAAACAAGTAAATTGAATCGAAGAAAAACAATGTATGTACCTTTAAGCACCAGGTGGTTGTGTGTTACAATCTTTTTCAACAGCATTTGAAAGGTTTTTAAAGCTGATCATCAGGCTGGATCATGTGACTCTAAACCATCCCTTTGCTATGCTGCAATAGCCCGAGTCCACCAGAGAGGCTTCCAAATGTACACTGAGCATTTCTTCCCAACTAACTTTCCCTCCACTACTGTATTTAAACATTAGTAATCATTCATCTCTGGCTCTCCTACAGTGTGTCTGTCATCCTGTCTCTCTCTGCTCTCTTTCCCCTCACCCCCAACCGGTCACAGTGGATAGCAGCCCCTCCCTTGATCTCGTTCTGTCAGAAGTATATTCATGTCAAAA